TTACAGAATTCAAGACAATAAAGCGGAGACCATGGTGTCTTGTTCTTTTTTTAAAAAAATTCCCAATTTGGGTTTTTTTTTTTTTTTGGCTCAATGCATTTATGGGTAGTCCTCAACGTACGACACAACAGAGTTTTTTTTTCCCCACAGTTGCTAAGTGAATCACGGCAGTTGTTAAGGGAATTATGAGGTTGGTAAATGAATCCGGCTTCCTCCATTGACTTTGCTTGTTGGAAGCCAGCTGGGAAAGTTGCAAATGGTGACCCAAGACAATGCAACAGTGGTGGGTTCCTCCCGGTTCGGTCCGGTTTGGCCGAGCCGGTAGCGGTGACGATATGACATCACCGAACTGGTTCTCCCCCCCGCCCTCCCACCCCCCGTTATTCTTACCTTTTATTTGGTCCCACCCCCAATCTATTGCTGCCTCCTGAGTCCCAGCGGATGACTAGAGGGAAAAAAACTGTTTAAACTCTTGCCGCGGGGCTTCAAAGGGCCGTCCTTCAGCTGATCAGTGTTAAAAGCAAACAAATGAGTCGGGTCGTAAGTGCACGGATTTGGTCGTAAGTGCGAGGACCTTCCAGAAATGACTGACCAGCTAGCCATGCCCACCTAGTCACATGACCTCCAAGCCACACCCACAAAATAAGCCACGCCCACAGAACCAGTAGTAAAAAAATTTAGAACCCACCCCTGCAATGCAACTGTTATAAATACCCATTTGCCACGTGCCCGGATTTTGATCACATGACCACGAGGATGCTGCAACAATTGTTAAGTGTGAAAAATGGTCATAAGCTACTTTTTCACTTTTTTTTCATAACTTCAGTCACTAAATGAATTGTCTTTTTCTTTCTTTCTTTCTTTTTTGCTTTAATTTATATGCCTCCCTTCTCCGGAGACTCAGGGCAGCTTGCAATGCGTTAAGCAATAGCCTTCATGCTTTTGTATATTTATACAAAGTCAGCTTATTGCCCCCACAAACTGGGTCCTCATTTCACCTACCTTAGAAAGGATGGAAGGCTGAGTCAACCTTGAGCCTGGTGAGATTCGAACCTGCAGTAATTGCAAGCAGCAAATGTTAATAAGATGTTAATAACAGTGCTTTAGTCCACTGTACTATCAGGCTCTACCTGCAGGTATATGTGACTTGCAACAGTTTGTTCAAAGTTACAACAGTGCAGAAAGAAGTGATTTATGATTGTTTTTCACACTTATGACCATTGCAGCATCCCCGTGGTCGTGTGATCAACATTCAGCTGCTTGGCAATTGATTTGTATTTATGACGGCTGCAGTTCCCAGGGTCTCCTTTTGTGACCTTCTGACGAGCCAATTTAATGGGGAAGCCAGATTTACTTAAGAACAGTTTGACTCATTTAACAACTGTAGTGATTCACTTAATGACCACGTCAAGAAAGGTCGTAACATGGGGCGAAACTCATTTCACAACCTTCTCACTTAACGGCAGAAATTTGGGGCTCAGTGATGGCCGTAAGTCGAGGACTACCTGTATTTCTTTTCTTGGGCATAGGGCAATTGATGTCTCTTCTGGAAAATTGCCATTTCTAAGCAGCGCCATTGGGGAGCAATTTTAATTTCTGAGACAGATTGGCACATCATATATAGGTTATGATGGGAAAGGCGTATCTTTGGGGAATTTCCTTTATCGTCCTGTGCACAGGATGCTGTTGCTCAGTGGCAGTTCGCATGATCTGTCTGGGGGAGAAATCTTGTGGCCAGCTGCTGCTGATCAGAGTTGGCAGGACTGAAATAGATGGGCCAGATGGTTTGAGTATGTATAAAGGTGCTTTCTCTGTTGATATAATAATATTGCAGCAAAACCAGAATGGGGTAATGGGGAAGAGCTGGGACAGGCAATCTGTTGTTCACTGTACAGCCCCTCTAATCTTTTTACCATGAATTGTTTTAGAAATCAATTTGAGAGAGGGTTGGTGATCCAAGCTTTTGCAATGTAATTATCAAGGGGTTGTTAGTGGGAAAAGTGTAGATCTGGGAGCAGAGAGACCTGGATTTAGTCCACCTTCTGTCAGGGTTCCAAGTAACACCCGCAACGAAAGAAGAATCTGAGGGAAGGGGAAGGGCGGCAGGGACAAGTCCAAGCAGTCACCAGGAGATAAACCCTGGCTTGAAGGTCTCCTCGTGCAAACAGATGATCCCAAAGATCTCTCCCCATCTCTGGAGAGATTTTCCTTGACCCAAGACTGGCTCCTGACCAGTGATTCCACCAGAGTGCTGTCCCCATTCGTGGAGTTACCTAGGAGTAGTGGTGAAATCCAATTTTTTTTTACTACCAGTTCTGTGGGCGTGGCTTGGTGGGCGTGGCAGGGGAAAGATACTGTAAAATCTCCATTCCCACCCCACTCCAGGGGAAGGATACTGCAAAAGCTCCATTTTCACCCCACCCCAATGCTTAACGCATTGTAAGCCGCCCTGAGTCTCCAGAGAAGGGCGGCATATAAATCAAATTAAAAAAACAAAAACAAAAAAACTCTGGGGCCAGCCAAAGGTGGTATTTGCCGGTTCTCCGAACTACTCAAAATTTCCACTACTGGTACTCCAAACTACTCAAAATTTCCACTACTGGTTCTCCAGAACCTGTCAGAACCTGCTGGATTTCATCCCTGCCTAGGAGCCCCAAGTAGTAATATATCTTGAGCCAATCTTTGTTTTCTGATATTTCTGGAAGTAACATGGAATCACGGGAAGTAAAAATTCTACAAACGTTGAGCCATAATTATGGAAAGACAGGTAGCTGCTCTGTTCTCTTGCTGCCAAGAAGCATTGAGGTTTATTACATTGATGGCCTCTGGGTATTGTAATAACCAACAGAGTGCAGTTTAGTCAGAAGCAACCAATGTTAAATGATTCAAGAAAGCAGAATGGAAATTAAATGGCTTGATCCAGGTGGAGTTGGGCGTTTCAGGGCAATAAAGACTGAAGGAATTCTAGAGGAATGGTAAATAATTCTCCTTGACTATAATACAAGCAATGAGAAGGTTGGCATGGCACTTAGTTTGCGTGCATGTGTAAAAATGCAGTGTCTTTGGAGGTGACCGGAGTTTTAAGATGGGATGTATGTTGAGCTCTTTATGCAATAGATACCAGTTATAGCTATCACCAGGAACATTGTGATGATTCAAATGCTCATAATGTTCTAAACTGAGCAGAAAAGAGACACAATGATCAACCGGACACTGCTGTAGGTGATTAAATCTAAAATCATTGCAAAGGAAGGGGTAAGATAAAGGTAAAGGTTCCCCCGCACATGCATGCTAGTTGTTTCCGGCTCTAGGAGTGGTGCTCATCTCCATTTCTAAGCCGAACAGCCAACGCTGTCCGAAGACGTCTCTGTGGTCATGTGGCCGGCATGACTAAATGCCAAAGACTCATGGAGCACTGTTACCTTTCCACCAAAGTGGTCCCTATTTTTCTACTTGCATTTTTTACATGCTTTCGAAATGCTAGGTTGGCAGAAGCTATGAAGTAATGGGAGCTCACTCGGTCACACGGCGCTAGGGATTCAAACTGCTGAACTGCTGACCTTCTGATCGACATGCTCAGCGTCTTAGCCACTGAGCCACCACGTCCCTTAGAAACGGGATACGTATATATTAATGTTAAGATGGGGAGAACAGTCCCACCCTTGTGTTGTGGTCCGCCAGCAGCCTGCGGAGCTGGCAGCAGAGTCGGACAGCGATGAGGCTGAGGAAGAATGTGGGCCAGTCCTGGAGGCTGGGGAAGGCTCGGATGAGGGCTCTGCGTCAGAGGCAGAGATGGGGCCAGGGCCATTGGGGAGTGAGGTACGGACTCCAGAGCCTCCAGAGACTGATAGGAGTGAGGCAGAGGAACAGGAGGAGCCTGTTCCTAATGCACGCATGAGAAGAGCTGCCAGAAGGCAAGAGCAGCTCAAGCAAAGAGGACAACTCGGGAGTAGGGCCAAGAGATGATTGGCCCCTCCCATAAGGCTTAAAACATACCAGCAACGGCGTTTAGGCTTTGCCGGAAAACAATGTTGGTAGCTTCGTCTTCTTCTTTGTCTACATCTTGTATTTATTTTTGTATCTGTGACTTCTGAACGTTTGCCAAGAAAGGCCTTTGGCAGTTTGTCTAATTGGACCAAGGTTTGTGATAAGACTGAGGAATTTGTGTTGGGAGGAATTTGCTTTAATTTAGTTGAACGACGCTGGGAATGAAGTAATTGTCAGCTGTTCGAATAAAGTTTGTTTGTTTTTTCACGGACTGATTTTCCTACTACTTACTTGGGCCTGGGTCACAACACCTTGAAATTCCATAAGAAGAAGCCAAATAGGATGAAAAACTTAATATGGGACTGTTTTAATATTCTCCCAAATTCTGCCAAAAAGAAACCAAGATCTACTGTGCTACTTAACAATGTTGTTGTTGTTGTTGTTATGGAGGTTTCAAGATGGGAGTGGGAGCCTTAATCTACTTTCTGCCTATTCTAGTCAGTGTTTTGCCCTGAGGTCCAAGTTGATTGGCTTGGAGATTTGGACCAGCATTAAAAATCTTGCAAGTCTGAAGTTTGTCATATCTTGTCAAGTGCAAAGGATCAGGACTAAACCTTTGGTTACACTTCAGAGATTTATTGCTTAAGCCTATACACAAGAATCCAGTGAAATAAAGTTCAATATTGAATTGGTGCTAGATAAGGTCAATGGAATTCAAGAAACGTTAGACTTGGACCATTGAAGGCAATATTCTAAAGATTCTAAACTGATGATACACTTAACTCCGCCCCCACCTGGTCTTCTCATACATGTCTTTTGCTAGGCTGTCCATTGGATTTGTAAGATTGCTTGGATTACAAAGGATGGGAAGAACAAGAAGAGTTACTATGGATTCATGTGCAAGTTTCTTATGCCATTATGAGTTTATGTCAGCATTATCAGATATACAGAACCTCAGATTCAAATATTGCTGGTTAAACAAATCGTGTTCTTCTCCTTTCTTTCCATTACAGGTTCTTATCTGATGGTCAATTCCTCCCAGCACAGTCCAGGGCAGAAAGCACAGATCCTCTTCCAGACATTGAGTGAAAATGACACTCACTGTCTTCAGTTCAGCTACTTCATGTACAGCCGAGATGGGCACAGTCCTGGGACTTTGAATGTCTTTGTCAAAATGAACGGAGGGCCACTGGGAAGCGTGGTGTGGAATGTCTCTGGCTCCCATGGTCGGCAATGGCATCAGGTGGAGCTTGCTGTCAGCATGTTTTGGCCCAACGAGTATCAGGTGAGACGGGGATTGCTATCAGGCACAATAAATCAGAAAACAAGGTGGTTGAAATGACTACAGGTTTATTGCATGCTAACGCCGTCTACAAGAATCTGAACTACTACTAGTAGTAAAGAATCTCAACTACTCAAAGCAAATTGGTGGTAGACAAGAGTCAATGGGATTCAAGGTGGGCTGGACTTAGATCTCTTGTGGGCATGAAAGGATTTGAGACTGATGACGCATTTGACTCCCCCCTCAAGCTCAGCCTGGTCATCTCATACAGTTGCCTTTTTGGAGAAACCTTGTGGGAGATTTGGGATAAATTCTGATGCTTGAGGAAAACCATCTCCTGAAAAGTGAAGTGTGTGGCTGAATTTACATACAGAAACCTAAACCCAGTAGTGGGTTTCTACTGGTTCGCCCCAGTTCGGGCAAACCGGTAGTAGCGGAGGCAGAAAGCTCCACCCACCTGCCCAGACGTCATCAAATACGCTCTGTGCATGCGCAGAAGTGGCGCACACGCAAGCGAACCGGTAGCAAAGGTGAGTGAAACCCAGCACTGCCTAAACTAGTGATGGCTAACCTTTTTACCATTGCGTGCCAGGAGTGGGGGGAGCACGGGGGAGGGGATGTCGCACATGCGTGCCCACATCCATAATTCTATGCCCCCCGCGCATGTGCTCGTGAGCCCCCCGTTCCCCCTGGTCCTGGCAAGCAATGGCCTGGTGGGCCCAGTAAGCTTGTTTCTCTCTCTCCCCAGGCTCCAGAGTCTTTCTAGGAGCCTGGGGAGGGTGAAAACGGCCTTCTACACCCCCACGGAGGCCCTCTGGAGGCCGAAAACGGCCAGTTTCCCAACTTCTGGTAGAACTGGAAGGCCTGTTTTTTGCTCTCCCCAGGCTCCAGAGCCTGTCTAGGAGTCTGGGGAGGCCCTCCGGAGGCTGGAAACGGCCCATTTGCCAATGTCCGGTAGAAATCAGCATGCGCTGGAGCTCGCATGCCCACCAATATGGCAACATGTGCCACCTGTGGCACGCGTGCTATAGGTTCACCATCACGGGCCTAAACCATACCATGGATTAGCAAAACCCATTTACCGTGTTCACTGAACATGCCAAATCCAAAATAATAAACTATACTATGGCTTGAGGCTATGGGTTGAGATAATTACTGGATTTCCTGTCTTCTACCAACTACGATGTGTGAACACTATCATAGTCTACTCTATTTGTTACATGCCCAATTAGATGTACCTAGCACTCCTTCAAAGTCAGCAAGGGTTTTTTAGTTCTTGCTTGGGTGAATGCCAAGAAACACCAGATTGTAGATTAGAGCTGGGAATTCCCAAGAATGTGCCTGAAAAATATAATGGTACACCACTTCCAATTGTTCCAAAAGCTGAATGGAATATTGTATGAAATCAACAGAAGTTGAGCTTGACTGGAAGCGCACTTGATTTTTAATACCCTGTTTCCCCCAAAACAAGACATCCCCTGATAATAAGCTCAATTGGGCTTTTGAGCGCATGGCAATAGGCCAAGCGCTTATTTCAGGGTTCAAAAAAAATATAAGACAGAGTCTTATTTTCGGGGAAACACGGTATTCTGTGGAAATCCAGCTCTTCATTTATGAGAAAGATGAACATGCAAGACAAGAGGATTTCACTGGATTGTCAATAGTAATTGTCTAATAATTAATTAATTGTCACTAGCCCATTCTTTTTATCCTCCTGGGATGGATGCTTGTCACTGTATAATCTGACTGATTTGTGCTAATTTCTGTTTCATAACAAGGTGAGATTTATTATCCCACTTCCCCCAAAGGAAGTTGATCATCGGCTTCAGATAGTCTTCCCCTCAATCTAGGTAGCTGAAAATCCATGATCCCCTTTATGGCATTTTTTGCAGTTCTTCAATAAACCTGCAAATTGAAAGAGAATTTATTGAGGGAAAAAAATTAGCCTTGGGCAGCAACTGAATATCAACTGGCCTGACAGGTCCTTTGTGCTCAAAGTTGCCCAAAATATTGTAGATTTTCAGGGGTGCCAAAACTTCAGCCATTTATATGGGGCAGAAAATCAAGTTGGCCAAACAAGGCCCTTATTTTATTTTCTCAGATTTCTTACATTTTTTGAAAAATAACAAAGGCACAACCAAAATCAAAATATTATGAAAATAATTAGTGAAAATATGCATTGCATTTCACTCCTCCTTTTCCTCTAAAAGTTCAAGTTGATACAGGTAGTCCTTGACTTAAGACCACAATTGAGCCCAACATTTCTGTTGCTAAGTAAGACATTTGTTAAGTGAGTTTTGTCCCATTTTACGACCTTTCTTGCCACAGTTGTTAAGGGAATTACTGCACTTGTTAAATTAGTAACATGGTTGTTAAGTGAATCTGGCTTCCTCATTGACTTTGCTTGTCAGAAGGTTGCCAAAGAGGATTACATGACCCCGGGACATTGCAACTGTCATAAATATGAGTCAGTTGCCAAGCATCTGAATTTTGATCCCACGATCATGGGAATGCTGTAACGGTTGTAAGTGTGACAAACAGTCATAAGTCACTTTTTTCAATGATGTTGTAACTTCGAATGGTCACTAAATGAACTGCTGTAAATCGAGAACTACCTGTATTTATGCTTTCCTTCTTTACACGATTTTCTTTAGATAGGTTTGTAGTTAATAGGTTAGATTAAGGTGGGGTGAAATCTACTTAACTTCCCTACCGGTTTGGAAGTGTGCGCATCACGTGCGATTTTGGACCCTCTGCGCATGCGCAAAGCCTTCTGTGCATGTGCAGAGGGTCAAAAACAGGTTACTTCCTGGTTAAAACCAGGAAGTAATGACAGGTGGGTGGGCGGATCCTCACACTGCCACCGCTACTGGTTCTCTGAACCATGCACTGCCGCCGCTACCAGTTCGCCTGAACCGCTGCAAACAGATAGCATTCACCCCTGGATTAAGGTAGTGCCCAACACAGAGCTACCCAGTGAATTTCAGAGTCAGAGTTGAAATAAGGTCTCCTCAGTTCTACTCCAATATTCCAGTTGTAACACCAGAATATCTCTTTTTTTATCCTTAGGTATTGTTTGAAGCAGTCGTTTCCAGTGAAAGGCATGGCTACTTGGGATTGGATGACATCCTGCTCTTGAATTACCCCTGCTGTAAGTGTCACACTTTCTTTGATCAACTTTTCCATTCTGCTGTGGTAGCACGGATTTGTTCCAGGTCTCTTATGGCTAGCTTTAATCTCTAAAAGAATAAAAACTTGGTCCTGGGGAAGATGATAGATAATGCAGTGAAGAAGATGATTGCATGGTGAAATTTGCAATCATACTAGGGGTAATAAATACTAGGGCTCTGCTACTACTTGGGCTTATTCCAAAAAAGGTTTTCTGTCTGCCCAAGGGCATGAAAGTAGCACCTGCCTGCAATTCTTCACAACAGCCCCCCCCCAAATTTGGGTTTGCAATTACAAGAAAAGATACAGTTTCTTTAAGAAGTGGCAGAGAGGCACTATGTTCTTGTCCTTATAAAGCCCCTTTATGAAATAAAGGTGTAATAAAGATGAGCGAGTAAGCGACTGAGCTAGCGCCCCAAAGATATTCTAGTAATTACTCTCTTCTTAAAGTTACGTTTAAATTAATCCTCCCACCTTCAACCTGTTTTAGATCCATTTTTTTGAGCTATATCATTTGCGTGGGAGGGGATTAACTATAGAAGTCATTCCACAGATCTTTTTGTCTGTTTATCTCTCTTTTGGCAGCCAAAGCACCTCATTTTTCCCGCCTGGGTGATGTGGAGGTAAATGCCGGACAGAATGCTACTTTTCAGTGTGTAGCTGCCGGCAAGGCTTCGGAGACAGAGAGATTCCTCATGCAGGTAAGCGGGAATAAGTTTACCCCAAGTTACCCACATTGGATTATTTATCTGCTCCTCTTTGTTCTCGTTTCCTTCGATGAGGGGTGAGTTCAAGCTGTCCTTTGTGTTCTTCCATTGCCTGAAATAATAATAATAATAATAATAATAATAATAATAATAATAATCTCTGTATAGGATGCAATTGATATACTTGGAGGTAGGTTGAAATGAGTTTTCCTTTCTGAATGCTGATCTGCAATTTAGCCAGAATCTGGGCTTCCCCCTTTCCAGAATTTATTTATTTTTATTTATTTGATTTATATGCCGCCCTTCTCCGGAGACTCAGGGCGGCTTACAATGCGTTAAGCAATAGCCTTCATACTTTGGTATATTTATACAAAGTCAGCTTATTGCCCCCACAAACTGGGTCCTCATTTAACCTACCTTAGAAAGGATGGAAGGCTGAGTCAACCTTGAGCCTGGCGAGATTTGATCTTACTTTAATTGCAGACAGCTGGTGTTAAATTACAATGCTTCTGTCTGTTGAGCTGAACCAGGCTCCTAATTGATCATTGTTGGCAGGTTCTTCCACTCCTAGCTGTGGTTTATCCTGTGGAATACAAAGGTTTGCAAGCGGTCTTCGATGCACAGAAGTGTGACAACCTATCTCCTCATAGGGCCACCGATTGTGGGATAGAAGCCCTCCCTGGGGCTTATTCTTCCGAAACCTAAAATGTACTCAATGACCCTCCCCCAGGAGATGAAAGAAATGAGGGCCTATATTGACCAAAACCTAAAGAGGGGGTTTATTCAACCTGCCAGGTCCAGGGTGGCAGCTCCTGTTCTGTTCAGGGAGAAAAAGGATGGGAGCCTACGCTTATGTGTGGATTTCAGGGGACTTGATGTAGAATTGATATACTTGGAGGTAGGTTGAAATAAGCTTTCCTTTCCGAATGCTGATCAGAATCTGGGCTTCCCCCTTTCCAGAATTGATTGTTGTTGCTGGCAGGTTCTTCCACTCATAGCTCAACCTCTCTTTTGTAGTCTTAGAGAAACATTCCTTTCAGGAGAATATGTTTTTGCTTAATTTGCCCCAAAGGAGCAAACTTTCCCGATTTGTTTTTATTTTTAAATAGAAAGGGAAGCACATTCTAGAAAGGCAGACTGCATCCCAACATCCTTGAGCCATGGTGGCGTAGTGGTTAGAGTGCAGTACTGCAGGCTGCTTCTGCTGACTGCCGGCTGCCTGAAATTTGGCAGTTCGAATCTCACCAGGCTCAAGGTTGACTCAGCCTTCCATCCTTCCGAGGTGGGTAAAATGAGGACTCAAATTGTTGGGGGACAATAGGCTGACTCTGCAAACCGCTTAGAGAGGGCTGTAAAGCACTGTAAAGTGGTGTATATAAGTCGAAGTGCTACTGCTATCCTTTCCCATAAAACACGTTGTTTATTGAAACATAGGCTGCAAACACCAATCTCTCCAGAGCCAGCTTGAGACCTTGATGGTGATCGTATTCTTGTTTTTCTGAATGGTAGAAGCAGAATGGGGTCGTCATTCCCACCGTCTCAGTGAAGCACATCAGTCACCGAAGATTTTTGGCTACATTTCAACTGGACCAAGTCTTGAAAGGAGACCAGGACTTATACCGCTGTGTGACTCAGTCTAGCAGGGGCTCCGGTGTCAGTAACTTTGCCGAGCTGATAGTCAAAGGTATGTATCAGTGGGTGTTGGGATTGGCTTATCTGGTCACCCTGGGCAAAGTCAGGCCTAGACATTTGAAGTCTGAAGAATGATTTGAATTCTATTTGTCAGTACAGATAGTCCTCGGCTTACGACCACAATTGAGCCCAAAATTTCTGTGGCTAAGTGAGACATTTGTCAAGTGAGTTTTGCCCCACGTTATGACTTTTCTTGCCACAGTTGTTAAGTAAATCACTGCAGTTCTTAATTTAGTAATATAGTTGTTAAATGCACCTGGCTTCCGCATTGACCTTTCTTATCAGAAGATCGCAGAAAGAGATCACGTGATCCCAGGTTATTGCAACTGTCATAAATAGGAATCAGTTGTGCCAAGCACCTGAGTTTTTAATCACATGACTATTGGGATGCTGCAGTAGTTGTAAGGGTGAAAAAATGGTCGTACGTCACTTTTTTCAGTGTTGTTGTAACTTTGAATGGTCACTAAATGAACTGAGGTAAGTCGGGGACTACCTGAAGTGAGAGATCAATTATGGGAGCTGATGTGAGGCAAAAGCAACCAGAACCACTCGTGAAATGTCTCAACAGGAGTTTTATTGGTAGTCACCTACAGTAGTGGCCAGAATTGTGGAAACCTTTTGGGAAAAGTGTATTTTCTAAAACCAGCTAATAACACCACTTTTTTTTGGAGGAGTACCATAAAATTATTTATCAATGGAAAGATAATTTAATCAAGAATGTAATGCAATAACTTTTATGAAGGATTTGCTATTAGAGTAGCAGTTACAGTATAAAGAAGAAAAGTGAAAGACGTAGAAAAAAATGAGATATACAAACATTATCACCATGTCAGTTAATACTTAGTTGGGTAACCTTTAGCACGAATGACGGCCATACAACCCATGGAGTGAACCAAATCTTTTAATTCTGCAGCTGTTATCATGTGAAACCAAGATTGAACGATTGCTTCTATTAACTGGGTTTTTATTGCTGGGTCGCTTCTGACTAACAAGTTTCTTTAGTCAGCTCTATAGATTTTCAATTGGGTTAAGGTCTGGGCTATTCCCAGGCCATTCCAGCAGTGGAATAGGATTATCTTGAAAGTCCAAAAAACAAGTGGTGCTATTAGCCATCAAACCTACACTTTTCCCAAAAGGTTTCCACAATTTTGGCCACTACTGTTATGTTACAAGAATCTCATCCGGCTGACTACATTCCCTTGGTAATGGCAAGACAAGGCCTCCAGGATTTTGTGGGAGGTCAGGCCTGTGCTGTTTCCTGAAGTGGAAAGACTCCAGACTTGGGCCTCTCTTCACACCTCCCTCCAGTCGAGAGAGAGAGAGAGAGGGGGGGGGGGGGGGGGGGGGGGGGGGGGGGAGAGGGAGGAGGGAGGGAGGGAGAGAGAGGGAGGGAGGGAGGGAGAGGAAGAGGGAGGGAGGAAGAGGGAGGGAGAGAGAGAGAGAGAGGAGGGAGGGAGAGGGAGGAAGGGAGAGAGAGAGAGAGGGAGAGAAAAACACACATGCAAACACACCCACCCAGAGAAAGACAAGGATAATGCTTTCCTTGCATATCTTTTGTTCATTGCTGTGGGCGGATGTTGTTCCATGTTACTTATTTATAAAGAGGCTTTAGCAGCACAGAAACCTGCCATCTGCCTGTGATAGTGAACTCTTTTGGGAGAGGGGAGAGGGAGAAGGCCTCTGTTCTACATCTGTTTGACTTGGAATGAGCTAATATGGGAAGGCAGCCCAGCTTTTGAGGATACTCATCGTGGAACTGTACTTCCTGTATGGAGGTGATGGAGCAAGGCTTGTCATGTACGCATGGCTGGAGAATCCTATTTGTTCTGCAGGCGATGTTCTCATTGTATGAATCCATTGGAAGCCATATGGAGGGTGCAATTTGAGTTTATAAAAAGGGAGTGCCCAATTTAAATTAAAAAAAGCAAAAATACAGGATTCTTCTCTCCCCCTTTCTCTCCCTCTCTCTCTCTAACTCCCTCCCTCCCTCCCTTTCTCTCTCTCTCTTATATGGTATATGACTTATGACCCTGCAATAAGGGCAGACGATTTTCATGAATGGACTCAACCGAATTTGCAATAAGTGGTTTTGAAATTAAAGCAACATAAAATTAGCCCAAGGGCTACAGAGTGCCTACCTGTAGTATACAAATTGGCTGATATCAGCTTGATTCAATTAAGTGTTTGCGTCCTTCAGAAATTGCAAGCTGCCTTTAGACATTAAGTGTGTTGAAGGTGGCTTTTAGTACAAAACAGCAATCATGAAATGAAAGCTGTAAGAGTAAACATAATCTGGTAATGTTAAAAAAAAAATTGGATGAATGACTGAAGAGATAGGGGAAATCTGAGGATGATGAGTACACACAACTAGGCTACTGAAGTTCCAGTGTCTGCATTTGAACAATACACAGAGGTTGATAAAGTTAGAAAATTGATTAATTCAGGAACTTGATTCATCAGGTTGTCTGAATGCAGCCCTGCTCTTTCTTGTTCTTCCATCACCCCAATGGAGTTGTCCACTATCTATAAACCTATAAACTCTAAAAAGTTTTTAGGGTTTAGTAAAAACCTGGCTGTCTTCCAAAACCTGGGGTGCTGAATGTGTCAAGGGTCCCATTTCCTGGCTATATAGGTAGTCCTCAAGTTACAACCACAATTGAACCTAACATTTATGTTGCTAAGTGAAACATTTTTTAAATGAGTTTTGCTCCATTTTACAATGTTTCTTGCCAGGGTTGATAAGTGATTCACTGCAGTTGTTAAATTAGTAACAGAGTCGTTAAGTGAATCTGGCCTCCCCATTGCTTTTCAGAAGGTCACAAAAGGGGATCACATGATCCCAAGTCATTGTGACTGTCATAAATATGAGCCAGCTGCCGAGCATCTGAATTTTGATCATGTGACCATGGAGGATGCTGCAACGGTCTTAAGTGTGAAAAACGGTCATAAGTCACTTTTTCAATGCTGTTGTAACTTTGAATGGTCACTAAATGAATTGTTGTAAATTGAAGATTACCTGTATTGCTAACTGGTCAGGTATCTTGCTCCCATGTATATTTAATTTGGATGTTTTTATTTTACTATTTTTATTGTTTTAAAATGTTTCTAGTATTTTTCGTTGTAATTTTTAAAAAAATTCTAAGCCACCCAGAATCATTGATTGAGATGGGTGGCCATGAAAGAAAGAAAGAAAGAAAGAAAGAAAGAAAGAAAGAAAGAAAGAAAGAAAGAAAGAAAGAAAGAGAAAGAAAGGCAGCCTACGGAGATCCTCAGTCATCCAGGTGACAGTTGTCCCAAAGGTGCCTTTTCTGGTTTTTCTTTGAAGATGTTTTGCTTCTCATCCAAGAAGCTTCTTCAGCTCTTTCAGTTGCCTCTTGAAAAAGCACCTTTGGGAGAATGAATGAATGAATGAGCAAATGAGCCCATCCACCTCAGGACAGCTACAGTATCTGAAGGTGTCCAGAAGAACAGGTCAACTTATTACTTCTTTGTCCTCTTAACAGAGCCTCCAACGCCCATCGCACCCCCACAGCTTTTGAGAGCAGGTTCAACATACTTAATCATCCAGCTCAACACCAACTCAATCATTGGAGACGGTCCTATTGTAAGGAAAGAGATTGAGTACCGGATGACTTCTGGACCTTGGTCGGAAGTACATGCTGTAAACATGCAGACCTATAAATTATGGCATCTCGATCCCGACACAGAGTATGAAATCAGTGTCCTGCTGACCCGGCCAGGAGATGGTGGGACTGGCAAACCCGGACCTCCACTCATCAGTAGGACAAAGTGTGCAGGTAGGACTTTTCATTACTTTATGTATCAAGAAAATCACTGAGAACGGAACGGTGATGCTTTGGCCACAGGGCAGTATTTACCCATTTGCAGGGATTACAACATGAAGGCTGAGATAATATCCAGTCTTATTTATTTATTTGTGCCGGTGTATATCTGATTATTGCTTACCATGGTTTTAATCTGATTCTATTTATTTATTTATTTATTGCGATTTATATGCCGCCTTTCTCCCTAGGGACTCAAGGCGGCTTACAAAATGACAACTTCAATACAAATCACAATACAATACCAAATTAAAATCAGTAACCCAATTAAAAAACGATTTAAAATTATACCAGTGTACCCCCAAACGGATCAGTTTAATTGGCAGAAGAGCCAATTCTAAAATCAAAGAATCGCAGAGAACTTTAAAATCTGCCAAAACAAACTCCGGTAAAGCATGGACAGTGGCACTCTGTGGAATACGTTTGTGTTCATCTTTTACTGGACAATGACCTGCATTTTTTTTGAAGGTAAAAGATCCCTGTGAAAAAAAGAGTGCGTATTTCTAGACCTTCTGCACGAACAGTACCTAAAAAAGGTGCTTTTATCCAGGAAAAATATTTATAAATGGACTGCACGTTGGGGAAACTTAACAATAACTAGAAATATTTGTATGACAAAATGTGGTTTGCTCAGCGAGACGTTAATTAACAATTACACATATTAAAAGAAACAGGGAAAAATCTCTAAATAGCAGGGAAAAAATTGCAAATGAGTTCTTAATGAAACTTAAAAAACAAAACAAAAAACAAAACAAAAAAAATGTTGACAAAGGAAAACAAATACTCTACCAGTGTGGACTCACTCAAAGGCACCCCCTCCCCAAACAAACAAACAAACAAACAAACAACAACAAAGGGATTTGTCTGGCTAGGTGGCTCAGTGGCTAAGACGCTGAGTTTGTGGATCAGGAAGATCGGCAGTTCGAATCCCGAGTATAGGTCTCCAGCGTGAGCACGGGGTTGGACTAGATGACCTCCAAGGTCCCTTCCAACTCTGTTACTGTTATTAACTGTTATTATTAGCTGTCTGTGCAAGAATATTCTGGACACAGACCATGCGTAAAGGTGGGGAATCTTAATGCTGTATTTCCTCAACACTTAACCATCAATAAAGGTAAAGGTAAAGGTTCCCCTCACACATATGTGCTAGTTGTTTCCGACTGTAGGGGGCGGTGCTCATCTCCATTTCAAAGCCGAAGAACCAGCGCTGTCCAAAGATGTCTCCGTGGTCATGTGGCCGGCATGACTAAACACCAAAGGCACACGGAACGCTGTTCCCTTCTCACCAAAGATGATCCCCATTTTTCTAGTTGTATTTTTTATGTGCTTTCGAACTGCTAGGTTGGCAGAAGCTGGGACAAGTAATAGAAGCTCACCACGATATGTGGCACTAGGGATTCGAACCGCTGAACTGCCGACTTTTCGATCGACAAGCTCAGCGTCTTAGCCACTGACCCATCAATAGCTGAGTTTTACAAGAGCTGTGATTCAAAGTAGTTTAGACGGAACACGGTGCAGAGGTTATCAAGACACCAGTGTAAATACTAGTAGCCCAGTCGTATGTGAATCATTGCAGTTGCTAAATTAGTAACAGGATTGTTAAGTGAATCTGGCTCCCCACTTGACTTTCCTTGTCAGAAGATCGTGAAAGATGATGACATGACCCCGGAAACTGCAACCGTCATAAATACATGTGAGTTGCCAAGCATCCAAATTCTGATCACTGCAATGGTTGCAAGTGTAGAGTGGTGCGGTGGCCTAGATGTGGAGCTCTCGCCTCTCAATCAGGAGGCTGTGAATTCGATCCTAGGTAGAGGCAGATATTGCTCTCTCTGGGCCCAATGAGATTATATCTGTTGAATAAGACTCCGCATTGGCGACAAGAAGGGCATCCGGCCAGTAAACACTCTGCTAGCTCCATTCAGTTGCCCAGATTCCACCCCGCAAGGGATTATGGAGTCATTAAAAGAAGATGATGATGAATGGTTGTAAGTGTGAAGAACGATCATAAGTCCACTTTTGTTCAATCCTGTTGTACTTCAGTCAGTAAATGAATGGTTGTAAATTGAAGACTACCAGTACCTGTTAGTTGGCCTAGTTAGGATGTTATGACAGGTTCCTTAAATACTTGGCTGACTTCCAGGTGGAGGTGTTTACCGTGCTTGCAATTAGATGAGCACTAACGACCAACTGGAGAGTGCAAATGCACTCTGATGAAATGCCTCTTTCCGACAAAAGCCAGCTCTTGTGATCCAGATTTATGGTTTTGCTCACCCACAGGGATTGTGTTCGGATGACGAATGATCATTGCATCGGCAGCTGAGCAAAAGAACAGTCAGAGTTGTTGGCAGCAGGTGGATTGATAAAGGCCAGGGACAATGTGGTTTAGCTGTTGAGGATGTCCATGGTCTGTAATTCATGCCTGGGAGTGAGTAGTCATCTTGAAAAGTGGGGCGATGTTTAACGTTAGTGCTGCCTCTGGTTGAAAGGCCAGAAAAGAGGGGAGCTTCAGAAAAACACTGAATATTATTGCAGCATTCCTTCCGTAGGTTTGGTACATGATCTTACGTGTTTGAAATTCAAGAGTAAAGGATGTACCACTGTCCTCAACATGTGACCATAACTGAGCCCAAGGTTTAGGTTGAGTGAGTTTTGCCACATTTTATGACTTTTCTTGTCACATGTGTTAAGCGAATCACTGCAGTTGTAAAATTAGTAGCACGGTTGTTAAGTGAATCTGGTTTCCCCATTGACTTTGCTTGTCAGAAAGTTGCAAAAGGGGATCACATGACCCCAGGACATTGCAACCGTCATACGTGTGAGTCAGTTGTCAAGCAACAATGTAAATCACGTGACCATAAGTCAGTGGTGGGTTCCTCCCGGTTCCGCCCGGTTCTGCCGAGCCGGTAGCGGTGACGATATGATGTCACCGAACCAGTTCTGCCCCCCCGCCCCCGCCCCCCCATCCCCCCATGTTATTCTTACCTTTTATTTGCCCCCACCCCCAATCTATTGCTGCCTCCTGAGTCCCAGCTGATGGGCTATAAGGAAAAAAAACTGTTTAAACTCTTGCCACGGGGCTTCAAAGGGCCGCCCTACAGCTGATCAGTGGTAAAAGGCAGTTTGGTGGTAGACCGGTGCCTCCAAAAACAAATGAGTAGACCGGTGCCTGCAAAAATAAATGGGTAGACCAGTGCCTGCAAAAATACATGAATAGACCGGTGCCTGCAAAAATGAATGGGTAGACCGGTGCCTGCAAAAATTCATGAGTAGACTGGTACAGCTCTGCAAGCAGTTAAAAGCCTGGTAGACCAGTACCTCTGCTAAATCCTAAAGAATTGTCACATGACCATCAAGCCACGCCCACAAAATAAGCCACGCCCAAAGAACCGGTAGTAAAAAAATTTAGAACCCACCCCTGCCATAAGTGTAAGAAATGGTCATAAATTGCTTTTTTCAGTTCCATTGTAAGTTCAAATGGACACTAAGTAAACTTTTGTAAATCAAGGACTACCTGTGTTGCATAAATGGACCTTAATCCTTTGCTTAACAACTGTGGCAAAAAGGATGTAAAAATCAGGCATGACTTACTTAACAACCACTTAGTTGAACAATGGAAATTTGGGGGCCTAATTGTCGTCATAAGTAGAGGATTACCTGTATTATCTGTTCAAAGATACTATATGTACATTAAACAAGAGTTGTAGAACTGAATGTCTAAATACTTTCTGTGGACATTTAAAGATCCGTGCAACCCCTTCAAATATTACTCTCAAACTGAAATTTGGAACATGATGGAAAGGGGATTTTGATTAGAAACATAATTGGAAGATTATCATATTAAATATACATTTAAATTAAATTAAATTAAATTCAGTGCAAATGTGATCAACTGAAACTTATATTTTTATCTGGACTTCACCACTGCATTATGGAGTGCAGCCCCTTGGGTTCACGTGTCATGAGAACCCAGAAAAAATGGGTTAATTGCCTAATCCACAATAATTAATTAGCCGTGGGTAATTATGCTGCGCAAATCCTGACTTTGCTTTGCTATAAAAACTGAAAGACGAAAGGAAGAACGTTAGTTCTACATCGCCTGATCTTGTATTCTATTTTGCTTTTCAGTCCGGCCTCCTGTTTTTATCGTTGCCCTCCCATCCTGATTGCTCTTCCATCTTGAATCTCTGTCTCCCAGCTTATTCCAAACCAACTTTTTCTCTTCAAATGCTAACCCATCCATCTTCACCCTCCTGGCTAAAAACATGTTGTTGACAAGCGCATCTCATTTCTTCCATTAAAAAAGAAAGAAAGAAACCATCAAGGCTTTCTGACTGACTCTTAAAACACTGTATTTGTGACTCCCCGCTATCCGTATCCTGCCCTGCTCTAGGAACTGCGGCCTCGGTGATTAATAATAGAATTCTTTGAGTTAATTATGATAGTCGCCTTCTCTCCCATCTTCGGCAGCTCTCCCACCCCTGGTACAATTGCTTTTAAACCAAAATGCCCTCCGCAGAAGAAGCCATATTGGTGGGAGCTCAGAAACTGTCGGCTGCTTGCAATGGCTGCAGAACATTAGCTGCAGGGGTGGTCTGCTAGGGATTCGTAAGGGTTCGGGAAAACCTCTAGCTAGGGTTCTGTGCAGTTTGGAGAACCCACAAATCCCACTCCTGGCTGGCCCCGCCCACCCCACTCCACCCCTCCCAGGAGCCCCCACGCGGCCCATTTTGGATGCAGGAAAGTGCAGGGTGCGCGCGGAGGCTGGGGAGGGTGAAAAACGGGCCTAGGAGAAACAGGCCCGTTTCTGGCCTCCAGAGGCCCTCTGGAGCCTGGGGAGGCCGTTTTTTTTCTTTTTTTTAATTTGATTTATATGCCACCCTTCTCCGGAGACTCAGGGTGGCTTACAATGCACTAAGCAATAGCCTTCATCCTTTTGTATATTTATACAAAGT